GTCGAAAACCTGCCGTCCTTTGGAGACGAAAACTAGGATTTCTGGGTTAGAAATACTGCAGCTGCAACGTCTACAGCACTGAGCCATCTCAGCCGGTGCGCATTTTCGCGAATAAGACGAAGGCAGCTTGCGCCAACATTGCACCTGAATGGTGAAGAGATAGGAGCACACGTGCTGGTGGGAATGCTGCGTAGCTCCGCGTGGTTCGGTATGGCGAGGGAGCACCACCTTTGTGGTTATAACAGGGGATATTTTGTGAGTTTGTGAGCCCATTTCGAAAGCAGCATTTCCGATACCAAGCTGTTCGATTTCAGTCTTCCAGTCTTCACCAGCATCAGAAGGGTCATGATGGACCAATTTGGTCGACCAATTTGAAACAGGGAAACAAAAATATATGCTCTTTCTCGTTTTCAAAAGTGCATTTTTGATAAGAACAGAAAATATTTCTGTTACAAGAACTCGACATGAATATAAAATTTGAGAATTGAAGGATAAATTAAAGGTATCCTACTTTAAGAAAAAGTTTATTCTGATTCTTTTTCATCTTCACGTTTGCATTGCTAGTTCGATGTAAGGCTTGTTAAAAGCAGATTCATTCTTTATAGCTCACAAGAAAATATTAATTGAATTCTGGAGTGCTAATTGGAACAGCATGTTTCTAGATTAGAAGGTTATAGAGGTAAGAAGTTTTAACTTTGGCGGAGTTACTTACGGAAGTTAAACAAAGTGCAAAATGAAATATTTTTACTGTTTTTTTTTCATGCATTTTGAACTTGGCCTAACATTTTTTATCTTACAAAACAAAGTACTTGATGTTTTGCGGGGGCTCCATCTAGTATTCCTGTACTGTTCGTGGTGGTCGAAAACAAGACCGGTACTTCAAAGTAGGTGTGCGCTTTAGAGACTGCGCCACAAGCCGCTCCAGAAAATATTAGGTAACACAAGTAAATAATGGTTCTAAGGTCGGCAACACGTACTTGTTACATTACGAAAGTTATGTGCACAATCTGTACCAGATAATGTTCTTGCTGTGTATAGAAATCGCCACTTAACGTGATACCCAAGCTCAATAACCTCCGCAACAGTAGTCGAGAGGTCAATTTATGTGGTGACCCCACTCCGCTACCACGCGCGCCGAGATTTTTAACCTCGTGACAACTTGCCCCCTCGTGTTCGGCGCGGGAACACGCGACACAAATAAGCGGCTGTCGCAAAGGTCGTGCCAAGCAGCCTTTCGAGCGGCCGGGCGTGTTTTTTTTTTGTTTTTTTTTTCGTCCGCGGCAAGTTCTACGATCCTGCGCCATCGATATTTTCGGTTGGCGGCTGTAGCGGCCGCGGCGATGAGTTGGTGAACGGCTTGAAACGCGGATACGCCTGCGCGGGCGCGCGCTCGCGGCCTGCAGCTGAAGCGAAGACAGG